CTGATCATCAGGACACACGGAGGATGAAAGCCAGGCAGACAGCCCAAACCCCAAAGGTGGCAAGGACGTCACATGAGCGGTGATCACCGTTTCAGCACACTGCCTGTGTAGGGACCCCAAAGCAAACTTTCGTTTGTTCTGATCCCAGCCACTGCCCACGATTCGGCACAAAACACATGGCCTCACGTGTCACTAGTGCGCTGCACTAGGAAGACCCGCTGAGCTGATCCACATTAACATGACAGGTCACGGAGTGATTTTAATGATGTGCAGACAACCTGCATTTCAGAGCCGTTTGCATGTTTATTTTTGCTCTGTATGTGGGGCTGTTGCATCGAAGACATTCTGTGCCCTCTGGTGCTGTGGTGTGACAGAGACGGATCAAGGCGTAGCCGCTTTAGATATGCTGCAGGTAGATCATGCCAACGTGGTCGATTTAGTTTTGAGGTATACGACTCCCTAACCCTTTTAACCCTAACCCTAACCCTAACCCTAACCCTAACCCTAGCCCCTCTGCACAGTACCTGTATGGCGGCAGCCCGGGCCAAGCGTGCCTTCTCCTCACGGATCCGCTTCCTGTCCTCGTCTTTCTTCTTCTGCAGCTCTGGGGTCTTTCGACCTTCCTCCACTTTCTGCTCCCGCTCCTTTGTGGAAGCAAATGATAGAGGTGAGGAGGCAGGGTCAGGGGTTAGGGGAAGCGGGAAAAGACCAGCCCTCTCTAGTGCCTCCTAGTGGCCGGGCCTCGCCTACCCGCTTCTTGGCAGCCAGCAGACGGCGGAGGGCGGCTTCGCCGGCTCGTTGCCTCTGAGAGTGCCGCCGGAACCAACGCTGGATGGTTATGGCAGCGTGGTTCACCTGCTGGATGAACCTGCAGACACACAGACACAAATAGGGACACTGTTTGGGCCCGTGTCCAGAATACGGGAGTAAGAAAGGCCGCGCACAGCTGGAGGAACCTGACTCACACTTTGGACCAAATGTTTAAGCTAGTAGATAAAAACAAAACAGCCCATCCATCTTCCAAAAGCACTGAGGGGGACGGTGAGCCTGGAGCCCTGGCGGATGATCCAGGCGGAATGCCAGTGAGTCCGTGCGGAACAGGCAGACAGGGGGCACGGGGGTTTGTGGGCCATCCTGCTGCACGTCCTCGGCCCCGGGGGGGCCGGCGTGTACAGGGGAGGTGTGGAGGAGGAGCAGGCATTTGCACGCCCACGTACACCAGAGACACCTGCGGCACAGCGGATGCAGAGCCCGCCCACCAACACAGTCAGCCTGCCCTGCCCCCGACCACACTCAGCAAAATCCCACATCTTGTGTCATTACTTTCAAAGGGATGTTTCTGCAAGCGCAGGATGCGTCGAGCTGGAATTACCCCGAAGAGGCAAAAACACAGCAAGAAAAGCTGAGCACAACGGCGGGCACCCACAGGGGAATACCCACAATGCTTTGCCTCACCTCTCGGCCTCCTCCTCGGTGACCTCACGGCGTCGAGACTGGGAGGGGCTGCCGCATGGCACGTTGCTGTTGGAGCACGGCGAGGAGGAGAAGTTCTTCTGGGACTTGGTGAGAGACCCACCCTCTGGGGGGCCCTCATCGCTTGCCGTGGCTTTGATGAGGTTGCTGGCCGCAAAGGAGGCGGGGGGGGGGACATTACATCACAGGGGACTGCTGGGGGAGGGACAGATGCTCCGACAACATGGGCCTGATTTTATTATCATAAAAGGGACTAAAAGGCAATAACAAAACTGCTAACGCAAACACCAAGTACAACATAATAAGATTTCAGAAAGACTTCAGTCCATCCAGGGTGGGCCTTAAGCCCAGACAGAGGACGCCACCCACTTGAAGGAAGGCTTCTGATTGGAGCTCTTGGGCGTGAGCGGCTTCTCGGAGTGGTTGTTATGCAGGATGGGCGTGACCGAGTTTCCCACGGCGCCCTTGTTGCTCCTAGTGGGGGCGACATGATAAAATGGGGACTGAACAGAACACAGAAGTGATGCCCATTTATTAAAAATGACAGTTATTTACAGAGCCTGAAAGGCTTTCAACCCGCCTAATGTTACTGTTAATATTATAAATACTATCAAATATAGTGAGGGACCAGTTATTTTGGCTGCTTGAAAAGAATCAGCAAAGGGGTGAGAGCTTTCTGACATCTGCACTTCCTAACTGCGGAAGCCCAGAAGCCACGCCCCTTGTCACCACCCACTATCCCACCCATCCAATACCAGTAGCTCCCCCTGACCTGTTGTTGGCGGTGAAGTTGGCTGCCAGTGCCACGCCCACCTCCCTCTTCTTATGGCCCGTGGGTGAGTCCAGGCTGCCTGCACTGCGTGTGCTGGGGGACACAGGGAAGGTCCGCGGCTGGTCGTCCTGGGACAGAGAGTCCTGTTTACAAGGTGCAACACAGCGCCCCCTAGCCAGATGACACCGTAACTGCAGTTCTGTCTGCATCCCATCTCGTCACATTTCATGGCTCGTTATGGACGGCCCAAAAACAGTGTAATAGGGCCTCAGTGCTGGGTTAAGCTGACTGGGTTAAGCTAACTAGGTTAACTGACTAAGATCTAATAATATAACCAGTGGTTAGTGGGTAAAACAAGGCAGTGACTGAATGTACAGGATAATTCCTCCCGCAGCTCTGAAACCCCCCCTCGCCCATCACTACATTCACACAGATATGCAGATGAAAATTAGGAGCAAGAGACCTGACCAGTTTCCCCCCCAACACCAACTCCCCGGGAATAACCCACATGCTGGAGCCATTCTGCAGCCAGCCACTGTGGAGCTGCAGGACGTACCAGAATGTTCCAGGTGGTGCGGTCTGGGGACGCCTTGCCGAGGCTGGCCAGCTTCCTCCTGCCATCCGAGCTGCTGTCCAGAAAAGTGAGCAAGTCCTCGCTCTTGTCCTCACTAGGGAAGAGATCGGACCGACACGCGGTTCTGAGTCAGACCCTTTTCCATCCAGTGCGGCACTCAGAACGCCTGCTTCAGTCTGCTGGCTCCACCCCAGAACCTCGTGCTGCTCTTTCACACTAAGGACAGTAAATCTTGAATGTATGAGTCACGGGAGCATCACAGCTGTAAAGCCAAACTGCCTGCAGTGCGAGGTCACGAGTGACAGGGCAGCAGAGCCATGAGAGACACATCATTTCCTCCAGGAGGCTGAAGAGGGACGTCAACCCCCCCCCATCCATGTCACACACAGCTATTACTCTGCCTTAAAACATAAACACACGCTCAAACAAACCCAGGGAAAATGATGCGTCCACATGCCCCATGGCAGGTTGGACCCTTCCGCATCTTTTGCTTTCTGTGTTGAAGGGGGGGTGCAGGGAGGGGGGTTGGGGGTAACCAGCTGGTCCACTGAATAGGAACCCCCCCAGACACAAATCCGAGGCACGCATTCCTCTACTCCAAAGACACTCCTGAAAGATGGCGACAGGCCGGGTGGGGGGCAGCAGGAGGCAGACAATGGCATCCCCGCGTGGGGCCTCTCACCCTCCCTCCCCCTCCCTCTCCCATTCAGTCCTCACCGTCCTGTCCTTCACTCTAACAAAGAGGCCCGTCGGTCTGGGTGTGATACCCCAGTCATGCCCCCCCCATAACCCCCTCCTAGCCCCCCACCTCCTGCCCAGCCCTACATGAAGCAGCCACCATCCACAACGGGCATTATGGGGTGCGGAGATGAGGGAACAGAGGGGGGCGGGGGTGTCTGGCAGAATCGACAGCTGTCGCAACAGCCCCGCTCCTTGTGAAGGAATGCCGGAGAAGCCAGCAGCCATCCCTAACGAAACAGGCTCATCACCGTCCCCCCCGCACCCCCACCCTGGCCCGCACGGCCCCTACCTGATAGTGAGGTTCGTCCGCTGGTTCACCTGAGTGGTACTGTTGGACCGCCGCAGGTTCTTGATGGACCGGGAAGCGCCCAGTCCAGCTTCAGCCTGGTGTGAAAAACATAAACAAATACGACAAAACTCACCTTTCCCAAGAATATCCCAGCATGCCGTTCCCTATTCATTACCCAGAATTCCCTCATACGTATTGTGTTTTACACACTGTTTTAAGAATCTGACTGATTCAGCACAGTTAATCATGACATTGAAATGAAAGCAGACAAATTTATCAATATGGAATGTGGAACACGTGCGACCTGCACACCCCGAGCAGGAACACCCACCAGTGTGTTGCGCTTGCCTCGGCCCTCGCTGGCAGCCGACACCGACACGGAGCGGGACAGGTGTTTTCCGGGCGAGGCGCTGCTGGGCCGGCGGGTCACCGTGAGCTGGGAGCCGGTGAGGCTCAGGTCCAGGGCTTCGCCTGCCAGGCCGCCGGGGAGGGAGGCCGGGCTGCGGCTGGTGTGCATTCTCAGGGGTCTGTCCTGGGTGGGGGGGGGGCACACATTCAGCACATATCGAAGCACAAAGCACCCCGACTCGACTTCGACGTGACGTCAAGCAGTGACCTCAGGTGTTCTGTCCTTGGTGCAAAAACAAGCTGACGGGCAAAACTTCAGTGGCACATCTGCCAGAGGTGCAGATGCAAGGCGCCAAATTAAAATTCTCCTCTTCGGAACGTTCCAGAATCTCCTCAGACAGGACTCGGCTTCCTTTTCAGCTCCGTATTCAACGGGACGACAAACATGGTCTGTCGCCACCTGCTCTGAGATGCTGATCACAGCATGGAGAATCAGCATGATGACCTCACGTCCCACACCGAGAGGGGTGTCAGGGCTGCCCCCCAGGTACGCTGAAACCCAGAGAATCCTGTTTCTCCCCAGTCGACACCTGGAGCACGTAGCAACGGGCTGGGATGAGCGTGAGAACCCCGAAGATACGGACAGTCCAAGAAAAGCAGGGACATAATGAAACAGCATCTTGAAATGCTCGGGTCAGCTGGGTTTGGAGTTGGGGGGTGGGGGCACAATGTTTCTGTCAACATCTGACAGGAGTAACTCCATCTTGGGGGCTTCCTCAGGGCCCCCACCTGTGATAAAACTGTTGACAATGAAGTTTAAGGTCCAGTCTAGCCCAGAACTGTAGGTAGGTGATTCAAACGAATGCTTGGAAAATGCAGTCCTCTGGATCAATACAAGATAACTCAGCACTTTGGTCAAAAGCAGAGAATGGTACAAGACGCTGAAGACTTGTTCGATTTCTCCGATCAGAGATTTCACTTTGGGGAAAGGGCGGCTGGCAGATCTGACGAAATGCTTCTTCGGGCTTTTCGGTTACGGCGATCCGGTAAAGATGCCCGTGTGGAAGAAGGCGGCAATATGGGCAAAGTCATCAAATGGAGTCCAGTCCAGCTAAAATCCAGAGGCTTACACAGCAGAGAGGACAATGCCAAGCAGGACTGTGGGGATCCTGACTATACGGATGTGCATCAGAGAATGGCATAGCTGTTGTACCCTAGGATACCCACATTGGCGATGCCCAGATCTGCTCAAAAAGTATTGCTTTACTGTAACTCAGCACCACACCCCCCTCACGTTATAAATACAAATCAACAGGATCACCCAAGTACGCAACTGTCTTTAACAAGGCTCAAGTGGGTATCAGACTCACACGGGGGACACGATGCGACATTTACACACAAACAAAACACACGCATCACAACAGAAACTCACCGGCTGCTCCGCGGAGAGGAGGGCGACGGTCGTAGCGGGGGCGGCAGGCTTACCGAGGTGCCGGGTAACGGTACCGAGTCATTCAGACGCACCCGGCCCGTCACACCGACGCTTGTTTGACTTGTTCAACGTAATACGTCGGGAAGGAAGCTGGATGTCAGGACATGTACGACGGCAGCGGTCTGTGGGCGTACAGGGAGCCTGACTATCACACTACTGACTACACCGGCCGGTATTAACCCAAGGCAGCCTTACTATCTGTCCGGCTGGCCTCTCCTACGGCACCACACAGCAGTCACATACACATTAAAGGGAAAACGTAATGCATTCCCATTGCAATGAAGGCACAAAAACCGTTAACCGAAAGGCCAGCAACGGGTGCCGAGAAAAAAAACAAACATTAAAACGTTGTCCAGTATCCCTGATACCGTATACCGTACAATTTCGAATCATACATCAAAAAAGAAAGGGCTAAACGCAGCGCCAGGATAACACAGCACTGACGGCCACTTCATCCCAATTCCCAGCGCAGCACCCGCCGACCGACGCCTGAAAACTGACAACGAACCTCAACATCTTCTCTGTGGCAACGAGAAAACACAGCCGCCTCGCACCGCGGCAGCTCTCATTGGTCAGGATAAGGTACGGCCCCCAAAATCGGAGGATTCCGATTGGAGGATCCGCGGTGCCTGTCCATGGTGGGCGTGGCACAAAGCGAAAGGTTGGTTTACCTTGCAAGCGATGCATTCTCGTAGAAGTCCTACAGCAGCTTCGATACTGCGTTCCGGTCCGGGAACCTTTTGGACATATAATCCTTGTAACGTATCACCCATTGTCCCATTTATATTGGCTTTCTAAAGACCAGATGCCTAAGCAGGGATTTTCTGCCTTATGCCATAGACCACAGAAAATGTCAGCTCAATAGTGTGGTGAATGAGTGACTCAGTCAGACGGTACGAAGATTAACAAAGAAAAGTTTATTTGGTTTTCCAATGTATACGCTTTCATTTTGAAACAATGTATTACAAAAATAAAGACCGGTGTTGCTTTAATTAAGCACACCATGCTCCTCGAATAAGAAGAGAAATTCACATTCTTGGGTTTTCGGAGCTTTAAGAGCGGTTACTTAAGGGAATGTGAACTGTCGCTTAGCAGTGCAAGGAATCAGAAGAAAAAAAAAATTGAAAAAGAACAGGGTTAATGTACCTGACTATATCAGTTCGAGAAATAAAGCACTATTTGAATAATGCAATATTGTTTAGGTACAGAAGGACACTTAGGACTAACCAGAAATCAGTTGTCACAATCAGACATGTTGACGTCAAACATCTTTAAGATATCTCATTCATTTTTCTTAATCTTTATTTTAATTTACAGCAGTTATTATTACTCTATTTAATTACCTTTCCTTTTAGACATTCCTTAATATGTCTATTATTTCTGCTACTACTGTTGTTCTTATCATCCACATAAGTGGAATGTTTGGAATGCTTATAATCAAAGATCAGAAAGCTTATTGTGATTCATGATGACTTTAATTCCACCACCAGCCTCCATATTTCAGACGCTTTGGCCAAAGTCAGCTCATCTGACAGGTCAGCGAGGGCCGGCAAGGCGGAGCTGTGTTTCATCTCCAGATGGGTCTCCAGGGTGGTTCGAATGCTGAGGATGTGGGTAGGGGGGACGGGGTGG